CAGGAATGACAGTCGTGCAAGTTATCCCACCATACCTCTGTAACTGCAATGAGGAACTTAAGGAAAAAATTCTTGACAGTGAGGGTGACAGAGCACTGGAACAGGCTGCCCAGAAAGGTTGTGGAGTCTCCTTCTCTGGAGATCTTCCAAACCCACTTGGATGCAGTCCTGTGCCACATGCTTTAGGTGACCCTGCGTGTGCAGGGGGGTTGGACTAGATGATCCCTAGAGGTCCCTTCCAACCTTAAGCATTCTATGATTCTATGATCATAGTATTGCAACTGCATAAGGATCTCTAATTCTTCCTGTTGGTTGCCCATGCTGTGTGCATTGGTGTATAAGGATTTCAGTGAGGTAGTTGAGCAGGCAGGTTCCCAGAATGGATGCAAGATGACCCTCCATAGCAACATCCCTTACACGCCTACCTGAATGCATGTACCTGCTGGAGGCATCTCGACTTGACCTGTGTTATGCTGACTCTGTCTCTATAACTCTGCCCTTTCCTCATCTTTCCTAGTTCAAAGCCCTTCTTAGCAGGCTGGCCAACCTGCTGGCAAAGACACACATGCCCCGCTTAGTGACATGAATCTTATCTCTCCCCATCAGTTGTTAGTCTTCAAACAGGGTTTCACTGCCACAGAAACAAAAACCATGTTGGAAACGTCGGTGGCACAGCCAGCTGTTAATCTGAAAAATCCCTCTACTTCTCCTTCCATCCTTCCCCTGCACTGACAGGATTAACCTGGGCTCCCAGATCCTTGAGCATCATCTCCAGAGCTCCTGTTTGATGGTTTCCAATTTGCCTTTGGTATTATTAGTGCCCACATAGAAGAGCAGCAAGGGTAACAACCCGATATGTGGACAAACCTTATCAGTCTTTCCAAGCCATCATATTTGAGTCCCCGGCAGGCAACAAACCTCTCTAGACAAGAGGCCAAGTCAGCAGATAGGTCCCCTGCAAGAATCATTCATGACTTCTGGGTGTTCCACAAGGCACAGGGTTTGTCAGTCCAGTTGCTTCCATTGAAAACATGCCCAGCTCCTCAGTCTGAAGGGCAGTAAACCTGTTCCTCAATTGCACGTCTTCAGGAAGAAGACTTCTCCTCCTACAGTCCTTCTCTTCTTCTTCTGGCCTTCCTCTGCAGTATTATGACGTGTTGTTTTCTTCATGTCCTATCTTCCTTATGCACCCCTGTTCATCCAACTCCCACATCCAGTTATCAACCACTGACAAAAAACCCTATGATTCATTGGTAAGCTTTTGAACAAACACTTGTTTGGTTTCCATGCTACCCAAACACATAAGCATCCACAAACTATCTAATTATCTTCCTCTTTTCCTGTGACGCCACAAAAAGTCTGATAAGGGTCAAGTTGCAAGCATGACAATACCATAATCTACCATAGCAAAAAATGGCATCTTATTGTTACTACGTATTTCAATACATTGCTGGTTTTACAAACTATATCCCATTTTAGACTTGTTTGTGTTTCTGTATCTTTTTCTGTTTACATACGGCCTCACACAGTGCAGTCTTAATTCCACAGGCAGTGATTCCATGTGTTAGAGTACTACCATACTAAATCAAACTAAATAACAATACTAACCTTGACTGAATTGAGGTAAATGAGGACATCACCAAACTGTCTAAGCAGAAAGAAGCAGGAGGCCATGCACTGTCTCCCTGGAATGGTATCTAAAAATTAAAAGAGAAATGTAAAATTTTAGAATTTAAAAATTATGTGGTAATGGAAATTAATCCCATGGATTGCTGGGAACCTGGAAAGGGACTATATCCTAAAAATAGCACAACTTGCCTTTTCAGGCAAAGGATTATACTAGAGGTTAGAAAAACTATTAGATCATCTTGTCAACTTTCTCCACTGCACACAAGAACAAGATTGCATTCAAAGCACATTCTACAGTGACAAACTGTTTAAGTAACAGGACATTTTCCACAGAACATTATCTATGTAGCATAATTTTACCATTAGTCACTCTATTCTTTGAAAATTATACTTGTTAGATATCCCAAGTTTGTTATTCTAAACTCGTTCTGTTTTCATGCATTTGGGATTGTAGCACTGCTCACAAATGGTAAAGCCGTAAGTAAATAAGTTTGGCAAATCAATTCAAATGAGCATCTGTAAGCTTTTATATTATGCTGTCATCTATTCTGAAATTGCTAACTATGTTACTGAAAAGCTATTTGAAAGCTTTTTTAAGGATTTTATAACGAGTTTACTAGGAATATTTTATTGTTAGACTCAGTCAGCAGAGTTTGGGCAAAGATGGAGGAACCCAAGTAGCAAGAGGGGAGATGCACTCTACTCCCAAGTGGGTACTCTGCCAAGTAGTCATTAGAGAGCTTGCTGTTCAGTGCAGAATGGTGGGGTGACAGCAGGCAGTAAGATCATATGGCCTTTGCAGTCCTGAAGTAATCTGATCCTGCAGGTTACCATCAATTCATCCATAAATGAAAATCTAAATACTTTTTTTTTTGTATGCAGAAATTTTGTGCATTTGAAGGACACTATCTGTGACTCGGTATCATTCAAAAAATACAGCATTTCCCTGGAAAGCTGTAAATTCTTCTTTCAAGGTTAGGTAGTAATTATTGATGGAAAGCATCATATAAGATCTCAAAATACATTTTAAAGAAAGGCCGAAGACTCATTTTTTATCCTGCAGCACCAGGAGATATTGGGCTTGACATGCTGTCATTTCCTTATAGAGACACTCCATCCTCATCCACGGCTGAACCACATTACTCAGTTCTCTGTCTTGGAGAATTACTTATTTATATGCCATTCACTTGTGAGCAGAACCTGGCCTCTTTATTTATCTGTCCTTACTCACATGCAAGCCTACGTATCATTACAACCTATCATTACATTTATTGCCTTGGCAGGACAGTAAGAGAAATATATTTTTTTCAATGTTCCTGTACTCTTTTGGTAATTAGAATGTTGATATCTCAAAAATGTCCCTTACTTCTCACATGCTATTTTTAACATTCATAAGCTATAAATAAATAAATAAATCTAAAGACTTGAAGTCTGACAATAAAATTTCACTAGAAATAAATCATAATAATGAAATATTAGAAAATTCCTTTCTGGTAAATAATTGGAGAATTTCCAAGTTTCAGTATCTACCATCACATCCAAATTTTGGCAGGAAATTATGTATATCATTCTCCATGTACTTTTAATGAAAGATTTAATACAAGTAAATAAATACATAAAACATCCATAAATCTCATACTCAGCCACTAATAATGCTAATGACAGGAATGCTAGAGTTTATAGTTCTAATCCACCTCATGCAACTCATAAAGGAAGAGAAAAAGTTCTCCTTCTTAAAATTACTCTGGGTAACCTAAAAATACCTTTCAGAGGGGACTGCATGAAGTCCAGAAGAGTCCTCACACCACTAGACGTGCCTGACTTGTCCTAAAGAGGGCTACTGAAAATGTGAGGAGTGCTGTTGTCTTTGTACAGGATAGTTTTTAAGACTTATGCTCACCATGAGAAACACTGCATATCATTGAAATGTTAATGGCAGTTTATTTTCACTAATGTTCATTTGGCCCCCATTTCTTTACTTATCTCAGACATCTGATCTCTCATTTTCGACCCAGTTGAAACACTGGAAAAAGATTACTTACAGCATGAGAATTATCTGTAAAAATCTAGTTATGTCCTTCTTTGTAATATCATTTCATGAGTCAGAAGACTGAGAACTCTAAGTAATTCTTACTGAGTTGTTGTTCTGGGTGATATTTATTGCTGCTATAAGGTGAACATCAACTGTTAAACTTTAAGTGCATCATTTTTGTTGCTGTTTTGGATGTCTCCACCCTCTTAAGTGCATAATCACTTCCAAAACATTTAGGCATTTCAACTTCTGTTGGGAAGTACTTTCATGTGAACTCTCTTCAGCCTACGTTCCTTGATTGCCTCAGTGAGAGTTCTAATTAAAAACTGCAAACATTTCATTGATGACCCCAATGACCCTCCCAAATAAAGGACACCGTTTTCTTCATAAGATGAATGTTCTTGTTGCTTTTCCCTTCATCTAGTCATACGATTTCTACAGTTAGCAAAAGGAAGTCAGAAAGACAGGAACTGGGTTTGAGAAAATCTTTCATGTTCTCATTTTAATCTGTTCGCTAGATACAATAATCGACATTAAGATCAAGAGGTCTGTAGGTCCAATTGCCAGATAAGAAACAGCATAGAATTTTTTCACTTTAATGAACACAATCTATTTTTCCATTATAGATCTGTGAAGCAGCTAGCTAACTTGATAAAAGCCTCTGAACAGACAATCTAATGGTGTTACCTCCTTGCAAGAACTGGCACAGTGCAAATGCTGAATCAAGACTTCCATTCTTGAAGAGCATGGATGGCTACTTAGCAAAAGCCCAAGTACAAAAACAGCTGAATTTGCTTCTATATTCTAAATCCAGCAAATAAAGGCAGCAAATCAAATTATTCAATGATTAATATGTTAAGTTACATAAGAACATAAAAATAGTGGTATTGGATTGACTGCAAAGTCTATCTGGTTAAGAAACCTGCTTGCTAAGAATATATGGCTGAAAAAACTATTGTATTTTGATTTCACGCACAAGAATACATAGTATGATATATAATGCCTTTCCTTTGAAGCTCCTCACTACTTCCAGCAACCTGCACTGAGAGACTTCCTAACCAGCACTGAAAACTGTGTGATAAACTCCTTTCCTACATACTTCTTTATACCTTTGGGTTTCTGCAACATTCTACATCAAAGAAGTTCTGAGCTACATGACAAACTACTTCCTGCTGTTTAAGCATCTTGCCTGATGTTCTATTTCAATGCTCCTTAGTTCTTGAATCATACAGTAGCTGATCCTTCTCTATTCATCATCTTTGTGCCACTTATTCTCTTCTGCATCACTAATAAAAACAAAATCGTTCATCACCTTTCCAGGCCATGTAACCTACTTTATCTAATCACTCTTTGTTCAAGAGGGTATCCCTTTCCTCTGGTCATCTTTGCTGGTTTTTTTGCACCCTTTCTTGGTCTACCATATTGTTTTGAAATGTAAGAACCCGAATAGCAAACAGTATTCAAGAAAAAGCAGAATCACAGATATACACTGGCACACTGATGATTTCTCTTTTGCTCTTGTGTCTCTTTCTTCATCACTCCTACTATTCTATTCAACTTTTCTTCATCATTACTACTATTCTATTCAACTTTTTATTACTACGGTTAAGATTTTTTCCCATTTTTTCACAAGTACTACTTTATCAAAACTAAACCCAATTTGCATCTTATGACCCCAACCTTTTATATTCTTCTGCAGTTTTCATAGTTGCCAGAGCTTTCATTTCTACTATGAGTAATTCTGCACTATTGCAAACTTAGGCATGTCACCGTTTGCCTCACATATCTCATCATTTATCAATATAAGGCCTCTCAAAGCAAAAAACAAACAAACAAACAAACAAAAACAAAAAAAAACCACCCAGCTTTCAAACCAGCTAAAAATATTTTATCCTCCTCACGGCTATTTCCGCTGGGTATTTTTTGTTGTTGTTACAAGTGAGAAAGCTTACAGAGCTCCTCTTCTTGAAATTAAGTACTGTAGAAAATTTGTGAGTTTTTTACTCATACATGGATTTTGAATTCAATTATACTTGGCTCACTCTAACAGAACTGGTTCTTGAGCATAACATTTCAAGGCAGTTTCTATGTAATGTCTGTATTGGTCATGAATCACCTGTTCACTTGTGCGTTTTCTTTCTTGTCTTGCTAAGACAAAAAAGTAGCATTTAAAAATTCATTCTTTGTATCACGCTATGTCATTGCATTTATCCATTCAATATGAACTCTATTATCTTACTAGCTGTCTCCATAGAGCCTCTTAACTCTTTAATATGCCAGTCACTGTTACTATTCAAGCTGGCTGGTGAATAATTTAGCTTTAATAGTATCTGTCTCCTATTTGAGCATGTAATTTTAAATACTTTCTGATAAAGAAACCACATTTGCTTTATTTTGAGCTAAGGTTTTTTATAGGGCTTAGAACCATTTATGCACCAGCATCATTGACTTAATAAAGCCTAGCTGCAAACTGAATGGAATAAAAAATATCCTTTACACTACCTCCCTTCTATCATACGTTCTTTTATTTGAATCATTTTACATTTATATCCTCTTCTAAAACAAGGTGTTCCATTTATTCATCTCCTTTTAAAACATCTGCTATACGTTTAGAAGCATTTATACATTTTTGTCATGTGTTTGTTTTTTGCAAGTTTTTTGTAATTTTGTTGATTTTTTGTTCTACCTAAATGAGGCCATCTTTTTATTTCTCATCTAAAAGGTTTGTTGACTTCCACCTGTGTTTTATTTGAGGATACAAAAATCATACAATTTTGACTTTAGAGGAAGAGTTACCTTGAACTGTGTTCTCTTCTGTACCTGTCACATTTCAAGTCTTTAAAAAGATGCCAGGGGAGCACTGAAGTACTAACAATGTAAAATCTTTCCAGTACTAATGTTTCCATTTAGGTTTAGACGCAACCAACCATTCCCATAGGTTCAAATGTTAAAAAAAAATAATTCTTTCTATCAAGACTAAATTTCTGTTTTTTTCTCAACTATTTTTCAAGTTTCAGCCTTGTTCTACATATGCTTTTTAAACAATGTTTCAGAGTAAAAGCAAGACTTTTAGCTTCCAAATAACTTAAATTTTGCTTTGAAGACATCTTTTCACTATAGAGTTTTCCAGGATATGTCTTCTATCTGTGTATTCTTGTTACTCATGTGTGCTATTAAGATTTTTTATGGGTTTGAAGAGGTTTTTCATCACCCTGTGACTTTACTGGCATTGCAAACCCTGTTAGGTGTAGGCCCATTAACTGAGTCACATTCCAACTTCAAAGGGTTATCCTCAATGACAAAAAAAAAAAAGGCACAGTAGGGAATGCTCTTCAACAGGATCACTTCCAGCTTTCCAGTGTGATGCTCTGTCTTACCACCTCAGCAGTAGAGGGGCTGCAAGTCTAGGAACAGATGGCTTTTATATATTTCTGGAAAACCCTCTGCCTCTTGAACTCTTTCTCTTCAGCCACCCTGGACACAGGAGACAGCATTCTGTCTCTGAGGACTACGAGCTGTGTGCATCATATGCATACACAAGCTACTTGCCTACAGAAATAAACCTACTGTTAAATGTACACAAAGGAAACTAGTGAGTCCCACTTCTGCTGAACTTCTGTATTCTGAGTTTTGATTTGAGATTTTTTTTTCACTTTGGGCAAGAAGGACAAAGTCTTGTTCAGGTGTACTAGTTTGCTTACTCCCTTTGCTCTTTTGACTTATGATTGATTTTTCTGATGTTTTTAGGATTCAACCAAGAAATGAGTCCAGAAGCCTCCTTCTCTCTCCATAGTCAAATACCTCCTTACTTTATTACCCTCAGTTTCAGGGCACATTCCATGCTAGTACTTTACATATTCACTAGGCTCTCATTTGTGGTCCCAGATTTGTACCTGTCTGTAAGTAGGCTTCAGCCACAACCGTCACCTAATCAGACTGTTGCCTTCTGACTTTACAATGGGGATGATTAGTCAAAGACAAGCTGCCATGATAACCATCACTGAAGACTAGTATTTTGCAGCAGAGCTTCTCTTCACGTCAAATTCTTATAGTACTGTTTGGAATCCACTGAATCTTCGATTTTAAGCCTGTGAGTTACTCATCCCATGGCAACAAAATGCCCAGCACTAGCAGTACTAAGAATCAGCAGTTAGATAAAGACATGATGGTGCATATTTGAATATCATAAGAGGGATTACATATGGAGAAAGAACATTTCAGACATACCACATTCACTGGCTGATCCACCCACCAACTGGAAGAACTGCTGAGCAATTTTCAGATGATCTCTCTAGGAGGGAAAAGAAAAAAAGGAAAAAAAAAAGATGACAACATAAGTTAAAGACTGGATTTTACAATACACAGCAAAAATAAGCTCTGGGGAAACATATGAGAGAAACATAGCACACAAGGGAAAAAAAAGCTAAATATGTCACTGTATGGCCCTAAATACACAGAAACACTTTATAAAGCTAACAGTTTTTTTGTTTTGTTTGTTTTGTAAACAGGATAGAGAAGCCAAATTCAGCTTGATTAATTTTCAGGACTAGTAACAGAGATCTGCACCCTCGTTATGATAACTCTGGACTAAGTACTACAGGGGGGAAGAGAGGAGGCTTGGAGATCCTGCAATCTAAATGCGAAATGTCTGCCTCTTTCACCATCAGCTCCATTGCAATCTCTGCAAAATCACTCACATCCTATTGCTGGAAAATGGAGAACTTCATAGGCCTCACTTACCGAGCCTATTTCTTGTCCAAGTGCTGCATTTACCACTCCCTTGAGGATGTATTCCTAAAAAACAAAACAAAACAAAATAAAATGGATCAGAGAAGACAAAGTGATGACTTCAGCACACAAAAAAGAGCCTACCAGCACCTTATTTTCATTGTTTTCTTCCTAATGCCAACTCAATTCCAACCCAATTTAATAGGTAGCTGTTTAATTTAGGTAATATAGTTACTACAATAGCAAGTGCTTCAGCACTGTGTGTAGAACAAAATGACCCTCAACATTTCTTTCTACATGTTAGCTAGTCACTTCTGTAAAATATTTCGTCCGTAAATAGGTAATATGCTTTTGGATAAGATCTTTTGCTCAAAACTGATGCACAAGAAGGACACCGCTATACAGCATCGTGCCATCTTCACCGCCATGTGATGTGACCAATCATCAAGTGCAATCTTGTTCCATTATAGGCCTGAGGGGTTCCATAGGCACACCTCAGGCCTATACTCCTCCACAACTACAGTTTAACTCTTCTCTGAGCAAGATTTCCTCAGTATATGGCAGACATTTGTCTTGTTCAAATATTACAATTCAGAGTTCCATTGATAACTCTGTTACACTATGATAATCTCGATAAACCAGGATTGCCCTGTTACAGATTTGTACACAGGAAAAGACAAAAAAAAAATGCACACAGACCAAAAAAAGGTGTGTAAGGGAACAATCTGACAACATTACCTACCATGCTAAGCAACCAGCTCTCTTACAGATGCTGAATTAAATTTTATAGACATCATGACAAAGAAGAAAATTGAGAAGGAAGACACATAAATATCTTGCACGTCTTAATGGGGAGTTCCTTCAAAGTGTGGTAGAAGATGAAAAAAAAAGCACAAAGATTCTCATTGCAAAATCTATCAAGTGGGTGATGATATCATGATGGTATTTGTACAATGCACATAGGTGGGTGATTTAGAAAAGAAAATGTAGGGGAAAAAGAACATAGGCTAAAGAAGCAATAGCTGCATAAATCTGTTCAAATAAGCATTGCACAGCAAAAGGAAAAGTAAAAAGTAAAGCAACAAGGCACTCCTCAGTACAGAATCACCAGATATGTTCTCGAGGTTTTTCCTTTCCCTTCCCTCCATCTAATCCTCACACAGACTCATGAAAGGTCCCTTTCATGCCCAGCTATGTGACCTTTGGAAAATAAACTGCAAAGAGGAACAAATCATGTCAAAACAGGAGTCAACAGACATTAGTTTTCACTCATTTCAGCCAAAGTGAGACAGGATTAGCAAAGCGTTATTATTGTTTAATCTAATTTCTTTTTTTTTTTTTAATGGCTTCAGGAGAAACCATGTAGGTATCTGTGCTGCCTGACCAGAGGGCTGGTAACTGCTACTATAGCAGAGGTGAGAAGCAGCTGTAAGTGGAAGGGGGCTTGTATCTATGCACTAATGATCAGCTCCTTGGCATAAAACTTGCACATAACAGAGCTGTATCCTTAGTTGATCCCATGTTGTAGCGCAATAAACATACTAAGCATTTATATATGCACATATTATAATATTTTATGCAAGCACATTAAGTCTTATTGAAAAAAAAAAAAAAGATGGTAAACACCAGATTTTTAAGGGTGGGAATGTGGCAAGCAGTCTTCAGGGTGGCAGTTTTGCATGTGGCAGTTTTCATACCAATTTATGCCCTCTCTCTTTATGTACTATGACATAAGTTTCCAATTACCTGTGGAGTTGTAGGTTCCAGGTCCTTAATCAGGTTATAAGCCTCCTGCACATCATCTGAAACACCAGACGTTAGAATGCACGACAAACCTCAGCACACTGCATTAGAACAAATCACTCCTCTTCTACGGCATTTCTTGATAGTCACAGACAAAGAAATAAAGCATTTAGACATGAGGAAAAAGGGAACTATAAATCACTGTGAATTTATATCACAATGGTGATGGTTTTCTAGAACTCAAATAACAAACATGGAGTGAGTAATAGCTTCTTTATTACTACAATTTTCTTGCAGTGATGACTTGGCTCCTTGTTCATAATGCTGTGGCTGCCTTCTCAGCAGTACAAGGTCAAGATAATAAAACCTTCATCCTCCTCTCTCCTCTTCTCACATTTATTTACCCCTCAAGGTGGATAAAGGAAGATGATTCTGAAAGGAAACTTCATCGTTTCCTTTATCAATATTTCAACATCTGTCCAGCAGTTCTTATCCTAATTCTATCAAGCAAAAAGCACACGAGTACAGCAGCTAATTTAAGGTTGAACACAATTTACTTCCCCCAAAGAAAAGATAACTGAAAAAGCCTTAAATGTTACCTAATTCAAAAAAGATTTGTCAGTACAGTATGATTAGCAAATCAACTTAGTGCAGATGTCTTTTGGACTGGTAAAATGTTAATACAGGTCAAATAACGGTGACAAGGTTTATGAGAAAGTAATGGATGGAAAAGCTATCATCACATCACTATACTGAACTAAACACCTATTCATCACTTGACCAATCAATCCACTGTTGAATAAAGGAACACAGTTGGAGAAGAGAAGAAAATAAAACTAAGTCTAAGAGTTGTAAAACAGATTTGGAATGACATGTCTTGTTCACGAAATGTAACTTTGTTCCTAGTCACTTCCGCTCATATTCTGTTTGCACCATATTTATAAAAATAGCTGTCATTGCCTTGGTAGGACACATACTTATTATTCTCACAGAACAAAAACAAAATAAATCCTCCCCTCCAAACCTAAGAACCTGCAGTTATCTGCTGAAGTAATTTATTCAACTGCATACAATTAAAGGCCCTCTCTGCAAGCCATGGGAAGCCATATACCACTGTTTTCTACAGAAAAGGAAATTAAATAAACTACAGATTACTACAAAGGGAAAAAAAGTCTGAGTGATCAGCTGGAGTGATCATATGAGATTAGCTGAATAGATATTATCCTTGCATCTATAGAAGGCCTAGAGGAAGATGTACTCACCTTGCCGGAGATAGTAAATCACAAGATTTAGTCTGGCCTCAGGAATAACATCAACCAGAGGAGGCAGGACCTGCAAAGCCCCTTCTCCTCCTCGGAAGACAACCTGCAGAGAAAAGCAGCTTATTGATAACAGCATAACAAAATCTCCATGTATTAACTCCATGAATTTTATCCTTAAATTCCTATACTAACAGTAAGATAAGGTCAATTGAATTGGCATTGGTGTAATTCCTGCTTTAATAGAATTTTATAAAAAACAGCAACACAATGTTATGAGGAAACCCCAGAAGGGAATGCACCCAAGGACATGTTTTCGCTGTTGTCACCAGAAAATGCAGACAAAACAGCAGATGTTCCTGGGACATCATGAGACAATATGGACAAAAACAGCAAAGACCAGTTGAAGACAAAGATAAGGACCACTGTATCTTCAAACAAACGTCTAGAGCTGAGCAGGAGGACCAAAACAGGGCCTCTGAGCCAGAATGGGGCCATAGGGAAGCGAGTTCTGCGTCGTCATCGAGTGGACATGGTGAGACGACCACCAGGGGGTCTCAAAAGACCACCAGAGACCACCAAAGGGACAGAGGGCGCATGCACGTGAGGGTGGAGTATATTATAATTAGTTCTCGGAAATAGAATGAATATGTATAATCGTTCCAAGAATTTAATGCATATGCAGATAATTTAGAAATAAAAGCTTTAGCAAACACACCTAGGATGTGCACGACAGGTGGAGCTAACCCCCATGTACCCAGTGCTGCAATAAAGTGAATGCCTGCTTCTTAATACTAAATTGGTGTTAAGAGGTTTATTCCCAGTTTTTGGTGACAACATGACAATCTTTGTCCTGAATTATACCAACTACTTAATCCATCAGGAAAAGGTCAACGAATCTCAGTTTTTAGCAGCTCAAAGAAGTATATGGAATGAAACACAACAAAAAAAAAGTTTGAAAAGTATTTACGTGAAAATTTGTTTGGTTTAGAATTCTAAAAGATCAGAAGTAATCAATACTTATTGATACAATACGTTCACATGATATAACATCCAGCAACATTCCTGACAACATCCAACATACTGATTCAGCTATCAACCAAAAGACCAACAATGAGAGCAAAGAATGTTAATTTAGGAAAGTCCAGTCTGAAAACAATTTTACCTATTGGGGAAAAAAAAAGTGCTAACTTGTTTTGATTGTTCTTGAATGCTGAGAGAGCAAGCAACTGTCTATCATTAAATAACAATAATCTACTATTACTAGTCATTCAGCAAAGTAATAGTAATACCATTGCAGGGAGCATTAGCAGTTAATCAACAAGACTTTTACATCAAAACACAAACATTTTGGCTTGTAGCGGTATCTTTTCCTTATAAACTCCTTATCAAGTACATTTGGATAGAAAGCATTTTACTGAGTTGTCTTGACGCCATGGACATCTTAGATGGATTAAACAAGGCACCTCATGGTTATGCATTCTGACTTGCTCTACAGTCTCGGTATAAACCGGGCTGGGCAAAGCATCGTGCAAGGGCATTGCCACAGGATATTTAAATCATATGTCCTTGAAGATAAACCCAACATTATCATTTTCATAAAAATCTCAAATTGACAGGTAAAAAAACCGATGGAGTAGGGGGAGGATGCACTTGATAAAACATTGATTATTTATATCTGATTTCTGGAATGGGTCTCACACGGCAGCGGAGATTCAGAGGTCTCCAGTTTTCGAAATATTTCACTTCCTGTGTCATGAAGAAATGTTCTACAAATGAGTACAGTCTGTATTAAATTTAGAGAAATACATTACTCACCAGATTGTGCTTAATAAGCTCCTTGGCAAACTCAAAAGAAGATGAGGCACTATCTGTCAAGCTCTTGAGTTCTGCCTGGAAATATATACATTCAAAAAGCTTAACAAGGAAACAGAAAAGCACACAAGATAAAGGCAGGTTCATATTACTACTTAAGCTGACAGAAAGCTATTCCAACACAGATAAACTGGGTTACAGGAAGAACAGTGCCTTTCCTATTGAATATGATTTTTTGCAGTTGCATAATACATATGGACACAAGGTCAAAAGTGCATCAGGAAAACAGTCAGAGCAACATGCACACATGGGGATGGACAGGGATGCCCACACACCTCTGTTTTTAATATCGAGGAGACTATGAAATAGGGCACATTCCTAAAAGAAGGACACAATGACATTGTGAAAGGCTGTTATCAACATCAGAGATTACAACAGACAACAGACAACAAGAGAAAGAAACCTGTACGGAATTGTGAAATAAAATAACCAGAACTGAGAAGCTTTCCAAGAGATACCTCAGCAGCCTTCCCATTGTAAAGGCGGAAATGGTTACAAGCCTTAAGGTTAAGAGCAATGGTGCTGTCAGGAACTTGCTGAAGGTAAACGGCAAGCACCTCTTGTGACACATCATAGTAATCCAGCTTGTAATAGCACAGGGCCACATACACATTCAGAGCCAGGTATTCCCTGCAGGACAGAGGAAAAAGGGTTAAGAGAGCATTTAAATCCCATAGAATAGTTATAGCACAAAACGTAAAAATCAGTAACAAAGTCCTCACATGTCTATGCATCTTCTGCAAGCACATGAAAACTGGGAGTCCTGACAAATGCTTATTGGGTAACTATAGTCCTACCTTCTGTTAGATAAATTACACAGAATCACAGAATATGACCTCTAGAGATCATCTAGTCCAACCCCCCCTGCACACCCAGGGCCACCCAGAGCACGTGGCACAGGGTGGCATCCAGGTGGGTTTTGAAGATCTCCAGAGAAGGAGACTCCACAACCTCTCTGGGCAGCCTGTTCCAGGGCTCTGTCACCCTCACAGTAAAGAAGTTCTTCCTCATAAGGAGACGAAAATTCCTGTGTTTCAACTTGCACCCATTACCCCTTGTCCCGTTGCTGGCCACCACCGAGAAGAGTTCTTTACGTTCCCCCCCCAGGTATTTGTACATGTTGATCATATCCTCTCTCAAACTTCTCTTCTCCAGGCTAAACAAGCCCAGCTCGCTTAGTCTTTTCTCATATGATAGAAGCTCCAGTCCCTCAATCACCTTTGTCGTTCTACGCTGGAACCTCTCCAGAGGCTCCACATCCCTTCTGTACTCGGGAGCCCAGAACTGCACCCAATACTCTAGATGCGGCCTCATCAGATTGTGGAGAATCAGCTACAGATGTGCTTTTTAAAATGTATTTATTTTTATTATTACTAACAGCCACTACTAGAATTTTAAAGAATTATCTACAGAACTACAGGTTTGGAAATTTGGGAAACAGTGGTAGCTTGACACTAAGAAATGCACAGAAGAAATTCTACATTTGTCCTAACAGAATAGGATTTTCTATGCAATGTGTGAAAAAACACATTTAAAATGCACATAAAACTTCACAAATATTTTTAATGGCTATTATTAACTCCATGTCAAGTATAATTACTTCAAAAAACTTGCCATTACATGCTGTGAAGCCAGAAGAACTAGACACAGAATAAGGCAGACATTTGTGGTAACAGTAAGTAAAAGGATAATTATTATGAAGGTTAGTAATTTAGCACTGAGTGATTGCCTCTACAGGATTTGGCAGTCGAAGTATCTTCCCTGAGCATTAAGTGACATACTGGTATGCATTATGAGGGAATTTTAGCTTTCTCTGAAGAATTCATGAGGAAAAATTCTCAAAATACAACTTAGTATTGTAGAGTGGCGGTTTCTGTTTTGCCAGACTATTCTTTCACTCCTGCTCACAGGTCAGTAGCAGGGCAGAAGGGAGGTAGAGGCAGGATACTAAAAGGCAAAAATTCTACGGAAGTGTAGAAGTGGAAGGAGAGGGCAGGGCATGGAAGAAGGACACCATGACATCTTTTATTGCTTAAAATGAATATTTTCAGCTACTCAAGACACAGTTTCCTTTCTTGCTAAATTCTGATTTTAAAAGTTGCAGAATATGCCAAAAAAGGAAACCCCAGTAACTGCACAGCAGAATAAATAGAAACAGAAAGAATCTCAGATGTAAAGGAACACGCACCTCTCTACATAAAAACTAAAACTGAACTCTTAGAAGGCTGAAAGTGAAGGAAAAGCCAATAATCACAAGCTTTTCAGGCCAGCAAGACAAAACAAATAAACAACTTATACAATTTCAGAAAGAGTAAGTAACAAAGAAAGAAGGATCTAAGAATAGATTAGAAGAAAATAGCACTAAAAAAGCAATGGAAATTCTGCAAATATGTATTTTTCAATAATGATTTTCAATAAACAGATTTGGGGGGATGCAACTTGTCCACACTTCATCGTGAAAGGGACATAATAACTGAAAAAATCTGTATTTTCAGAAAACAAGCAATTAAATAAAATCCAAACACCAGCAATACCAGACAGACTGCAGTAAGATTTAGAGTGGAGATGCCCACCGATTATCAAGAAGGATGCGTTTATAGATGTCGATAGCTTCTTGGTAATGGGACCGCATATAGTGGATAGATGCCAAGCTAAGCTGATCTTCTGTAATGTCTTGCAGATTCTGGTGAAAGCTCATCAGTTTTTTCTCATCACTGAACTGAAACACAAAGGGTGACATTTTCAGGAGAGTTCAGTGAGAAAAACATTGCAAGTTAATTTGTTGGGTTAGTTTTGTTCCTGCTGGCAAGCAGTAGGTGATTCATATTGAAAATCTGAAAAAACTCTTTTACTTTAAAGTTAATTTGGCCAATGGAGAAAGTCAAAAATAAAAAAGGCAGACCAGTTGAAACTGGATAAATCTGAGGCTAAAACTTAAGTACACACTTTTCTTTAAGGTGTGATCTGGACTTAATTATATGTCACATACCTTGATGGATAAGCTTGAATTACATATTTCATGCAGAGAATTTGGCAAGACAAGATCTGAATGTTACTATTTGAGCCAAAAGAAATTTTGATTTGCACATCAAAATCTTAATTCTCAGGGATAGCAGAAAAATGTAAGTCTTGACAAGACAACAAACTCATTCTCGTTAAGTTTCTTCAGAGCAACAACAAATACTCTTTCATCAGCCCCTTAAAATTCCAGTTTCATTAAGAAGGTTATTTTAAAAAGCATAGCACAGTGCATAATAAAGAAAGGGCGAAAGCAGGGAACAGAGTTAAATAATCATTTAATATTTGTATTACAATAGTAAAGTTGAGGCTATTCACCTAATCAGTTTACTCAAAAAAAACAGCTTCTCTTTGCTGTTTTTGCTGGTGTCAACGACAGTCAATACAAATTTTTCTTTGGCATGCAAATTCCCTCTTACACATTTGTTCTTATCTAAAATACCTACCTGCAATTTTTTCTAAAACCCTTTTACTCCCTCCTTAACAATAACATTCCAATGCAAAGGCAAGAAAAGCTGCTAAACAGAACTCTGTATGAGAAGCTTCGTATTAGTTATATATTAGTCCAAAGACTGACTACATGAAGTAGAGACCATTCAATTTTTCTACATTGTGGACATCTCTAAGCGACATTGCCACAACAAAAGCATTTGAACATTGTTCTCTTAAATTTACAGTGATTTAAGTAAATAGCATATGACATCAAGGCAAACATTCAGGATCAATACTTTCTTTTACTCAACACACAATATCTGCAGGAACACAACACTTCTTAGGTAGACCTCAGGATGGTACAAAAACAAATTAAAAGGAAAATAGTTATGTGGATAGTGAAATGGTCTTTTAATTGCTGTTGAAATTAAAGTAAATCTCAACCTGTAAACGATATTATATCCTGGGCACTGAATAACAGGCAGATCAGTAATAGCATATTGATCTTTTTGCTCAATTGCTAAGCATTAGATAGCTTTGAGGTAGCAAAACTTGGTATACATTAGAAGGAAAGTGAAAATAGTGGTGTCTACATTTCTGCTTCTATTCAAGTCCCAGGTTCCTTGCAATCAAATGTACCGTAAGGGTTCTGCTGTATGACTTATGTGCAATCATTGGGTAAAATTTGCTTTAGATACATGCTGAGGTCATCTATTCTGCGATCCTCTTTTCACACTTTCTCCTCCACATTTTAATAGAGGAGGGTGCTTGGGGAAAATGTTTGTTCTCCCGCCACCACAGACATTTTAATTGTTCTGCCAGGTTGCCAGCACAAACTACACCCTGCTAAAATGAAAAGAAAATAAAGTGCAAGCAATGACGAGACATCATACCTTATGTGCCAGGTGAAAGAGTAAACGGTTCTGGAGCCGACTCTTAGGTGCTGAAAGGAAAATTCAGTAAGTATAGATCCAACAAACATTTCAGTTTTAACTCCCTTTCCCAGCAGATGTACATACACACATGTTTTCTCACTAACTAGCCCAAGTTATGCTTCTTCACTACAACAGCCTGTACAGGTCGCAGCCTGGGGCACGTTCTGCCCATTTCACAGTGGTTGAAAAACATTCCGGCTCCTTATCTTCATTTGCTGTCATTTCTTTTGAAAGCTCTGTGGAACATAATTTGTCATTGTCCTTTCCTTCCATGAGCTTTAAAAGTTTGATGAACTGTACTATTATTCCTCTGCAGGGTAACGCAGAGTAATTCCTTCTGGATAATTCCATGACTTTGCACAAGTGACACACAGAAAAGCATCTCTTAAAAATTAAAATGCAGCAACAATCACACCCATAATAAAGCTTCCTTCTATGATGTGCAATTGTAAAGCAAATTTCAGGTAAATTGTGTATACATTATTCTAGGAGTCTTGTCAACTTTCAGTGTCCTATTGCTTTGTCACTCAGGCACGAATTAGGGACTTAATTCTAATATTTCTTCTAACCTTAGGAACAAACACAAATGAAAGAATCCTTCACTTGGAGCAGAGAAGGTTCATATGTTCTCTCTGGAGCCACTAAGGTTCACCAAATTTCTTGCTCTAGGAAAATTAAGAATACCATTTAATACACTCTGTATGACACCATTTGTTAACTGTAGGGGTTTTAAGTCACCAGAGAATGTCCTGTGCTTCACGGAGAGTGACAAAGATTCCTGCCCAGCAGTGCTATTAATTTCGTTTGTGAGCAATCTTCCAAAAAGCCGTTCCTTGTTTCCTTTATTCTCTTCGGCCTACTCAGATAATGAGCACTCTCATTCTTGCTCAGACCAACAGCTGGCAACCTGTGTGCCACAGAAAGAATTTATATGGAATCTTTACAAAAAAGCAGTATTTGCTGTGTTTGTGAGGCCACAAAAGTGCAGAGTTAGCAAAGCAATGGCCTGTATCACAAGGCTGTAATTCTTCTGACATCCTAAACCATGAAAGAGGCTGAAGCCACTAAAAACTTTTTTTTTCCCCAAAGATGGAATTTTCTAGTAAAAATTTGTATTTTTTGCAAAAGCAATTAGGGGAGACATTTGCAGAGCTCTTGCTCTTTCGCCGTATAATGAAGGTACTTTGGGACTCTGTGAACAATGCCAAAAACTAGGCCATTCTTGCCAGGTTGGCAGTACAAAGCTATCTATCTACTTCTGCTAGGCCCAGCAATTACTTCTTTCCTCTCTCCGTTCTTAATCTGTGTTATTTAAACATGTCCCTCCTCACCAACTACTCTAGAAAAAGGGGACAGTGAATCATCTCTTTAAAGAACTGCCAGGAAAAGGGGAGTCCCAAGAAGAAAAGGCAGTAAGAGAGAGTTCTCACAAAATCAAAACACCTTGCAAAATATTGCTAGCCAAGGGTCAAATTTAAAGGAACATTCTTCAACACAGAATGCTTTGGGGAATTCTCATTAGGCTAATTATTAAAGATAGTTTATTAGTATTAAACAAATAAAGGTTTACTAATCTAGTTAGGATCTGTAAGGATCATTAGTCACCAGTAATAAACAAGCTAATATATTCTATAAATTATTTCATTCACTGAGTTTAAAAGTTACAGAGTGCATTAATTTAAATGCAATTTCTTAACAACGTTGTCAGCAATGCTGAGCATTTACTGTATCAAATCCTAAAACGGTTGCACATGCACCCCGTATGTGCGTTTGTGCAAGGCAAGCTGACCACAACTCCCCTTCACAATTCAAAATAACCAGCCATCAAAGGCTGCAAAAATACAAGCAGGACAGACTGTGGGATTTACACTAAATTAACATATGTATAACCATAGTAGAGTGAGCAAATAGACCAGTGTAGGTTTTAGCATGAGTGTAAGTGGTTTGCAGGGAATAATCCCTCAAGAATCTAAAATGACTTGTTTGTTTTGCTGATCAACCAAAGACTATAGCGCTGCCCTCTTAAGCCTGGCATCTGATCCAACATCTGAATTATTAGTTTACTTCTTGGCAAGAACCAGTGCTAGTCCATGTTATCCTATACTTAAGGAAAGCAAAAGATGAAATTTGAGTTCTGATGTAGTAAGTGTTGGATATGTGGAGAAGGAAAAAATAATCCTGCTGCATAACAGATTACATCATACAATCCACGTTGATGTTCTTTAAAATGAGACACTTTTATTTAATGCCAGCCAGGGAAGTAGAGGGCAATAACCAAAAAAGGCAATCTTGTTGATATAATAAAGCAGAGTCATGGAAACATTCAGCATCTCTTCTCCCAGTGCCAAATGTATTTTTGGAGGAAGACAAGGAAACATATGAACCAAATTAGATTAATGTCCAGGACAAATTAGGTTACAATTATTGGATAAAGCTGATGTCAATCACTAGAGAAGGAAGTCATACAATTGCCTCCTCATTAGAGAATGACTCTTTTGAAGTACACCAAGATTATTCTTTTATGACTCTGCTGCTAGCAAACTTCATTCTCACTGATCTAACTGCTGATGCCATAAGGAAGCACAATCTTTTCAGGAATATTACTTTTTTTTTCTTTTTTCTTTTTTTTTTAAAAAAAAAACACTCTTAAGTTACCTAGAGTTTGTAATAAACATAAAGACAATGTGGCACTGCAATAAGTTGGGTTCTGCTCCAGTGATTAGTATTGGCCTTGGGCTGAACATGTCTCCGAGGTACCTGGGCAGGGTATGTGCATCTCTGGCTAAGAAACACACTGATATTCCTATGATAGAACTGTTGTCATGACCAGTACTCATGTTCCAGACACTGAAGTCATTACAGTTGAAACTGATCTTAAAAGCCTTTTCCTGTGTATTTTTATGTGCTGACTCTAAATGGATAGCTACTCAAGGAAGTATTTGTTAAAATATAATAAGGGGATACAATAAAAGAGTGAAGACACTTATTTTTACTATATTTTAAACAAAAAGTTTTTAGTTGAAGAAGCAGCAGCTCATGATCTTGGTGGGTTCTGGGTTGCTGCCACAGGCAGTAAGATGATAAAATAGGGACAGAGGCATCCTGGCATTTATAGCCTCTCACAAGCCTACAAGGCAATGCAGGTCAGGTGTCCAGCACTGATAAATCCCATCTAGCAAACGTAAGGCACACATGGTCCTAAAGCAGCTCCTGGAGACACCACAGCCAAGTAGGAGCAGAGGAAACTCCTGCCCCTGGGCCACAGTGTCCTACCCACCTAAACAGCAGAGCCACAGCCACAGCAGTGAAATGAAAAGCATGGGAAAAATGCATGAAAAAAGACACGGTCCAACAGGGAGGTTCACACTTGCAGACTGTTCAAAATTTTCTCATACGAAGTTTACTGAGGAAATTAACTGAAATTTTCCCTCTCTCAAAATACTTCTGGTCTCTCTCAAAATTAAAAATCAGTTCAACTATTTCCAGTTACTTGGAACATACACAAATTTCATTAGTCATGCCTGAGCAGAGTAACTTGAAGATGACTGAAACAAAAACTGTCAATTATTCCCGTTTTGTAGTTTCCACTGGGTCTCAAAAAGAAAAAAAAAGAAAAAAAAAAAGAAAAAAAAAGGTTAGCAAGGTTAGCAGGTTTTAAAGTTTACATATGTGTAAATGTCCCTCTCTTGCTTTTCACTTTTAAAGTTCTACATATCAAACACTGCTATTCCAAAACCAACTAGAAATGCAGGATAATGAACTGCTTTTCTCAAGAATTATGATAAAGGAAGGAAGAAGATAATTTTGCATATAGGTGAGCATGCAAAAAAAGCAGCAAATCTTCCATGCCCTATCATAACTGCGCATTTTCACTGCTGACAATTACCTGACACGTAGCAAACACTAGTGCAGGCATAAGCGAAACTAGTTTGGAAAATGCCATTGTTCTTACTAATTCATCTCTGTTCTGCTTTTGTGCAATCTCTCTTCTTCCAGGGTAGACAGTTAATGAGAAATATCTCTCTTCAGTTAAACCACATTCTGAGCTGACACACACAGTGTTGTGAAAAAAGCAGAGTAATTATAAAAAACCCTCTCTTGCCTGGTTCAGCTCCACAGTCCTGACAGTGCATGAATCTTAAATTTAATTGTAAAACTTGATATTTATCCTGAAAAATGTTTTTTGAAACAGATTTAACTGCAGTCCTGCTTACACTTATCCTATTTGTTGGCAAATACTTTGTGGTTTGAAAGACACTACTGGTTCTTGTTTCCTTCTTAACGCAGTGCTAGCCAGTGGCTTCTGAGAGCACTAGGTTTAAACACTAGCATTAGTCGCCAGGACCTCTATGCAAATGTCGTAGATTGAGTTTCTGGTCCTTGCCCTTTGTTTCTTGAAGACACAGGAATTGTGAATGCAACACGAGGCCTTTTTTTGTTTGTTTGTTTGTTTTTAAAAAAAGGCTTAGTTTATTCTTTATTAAGCCATGATTAAGATTCTCAGTCTCATTCTCCCAAGGCTAGATGGGCTAGCACGTATTGTACAAATTTTACATACAAATTTTATGTCAGTCCATGTATGAGAACGTGAATGCAAAAAGAATAAACAAAGCATCATGTGGCAGCTGTGCTGTGGGATGACTATGAAACAACAGTAGCTGACTTGAAAGTAACTCTACCTTCATCTTATGTTCACAAACATTAATAACTACAATATAAGGGCACAGCAGGGAATAAGCTGAAGTCAGTAATGTCTGAAAGGAATTTGGAAGAAAGCCTACAGGAAATAAAGCACAAGTGAACAACCTTGAACGAAAGACTTGTCTCTACCATCTTTTAGCTCCTCTTCTTAGGATATATTTACAACAATTCTGGTAAGTGTAATTTTGGTGTACAGATTTATTCTTTCCCAAGAGTATGTACTGTTAAGTTTCAACTAAGCAATGACAAACTAGGAGAACTTCACGTCTACTACAAAACAAACAAAAATATAAATCATTGCTCCAGAAGAGAATACAGATCTTGAATGAAATATAGTAATTATTTCATGGCCTTTAACTTGTTTCCTAATTTTTAAATATCCTTCATATTTTTCTTCAATTAGTAATAAAATGTTCTTAAGCAACAGCAATAGTATATTACAAGAAAGACCTTTTATTTGATTCTGGGATATTTAAATTTTGTGTGGAAAAGCAATTCCATAAAGTTAGCTGACATTTTATTTCCTTTCATACAGAGAAAGCACACTATAAATTTAGAATTATAGGTCTAAACAAATTACTTTTCCCTCATTTGTGTTAGCACTGTACTACTTTCCTGGTCTTACTCTGACAGCTGCAACAATAATCAATAAATATCAAAGAGAATATAAGAGTTCAGGCAGAATAATCCTAAAATAGCAATCATAAGCAGCCCAACAGCAGCTATATTTATCTTTTTTTTTTTTTTAGCAGTTTTCAAGGTAGCACTGGATAAATGGTGTTCTTATGGTGACTTCACCTATTGGGTTTACTATTCAAATAACCATGTTATTTCACCAGTGTCTTTGCAATGCCATGGAAGAAATTATAAGATGCAATGGCCTCAGATGTTAATAATATGTTAAGAATATATTAAGGATGCAACACTGAAATGTTAAAAAACCTATATTAGGATATCTCTCGACTGAAAATAAAATGGTTCAACCTCAATTTAGACAAGACTAAAGTGATATGAGTGGGAAGGGGAATATGTAATACTTGTCCATTCTTCACTGAAGTCTCCAAAGTGTTGTAAAGCTTCAGTGGTGCCTGCCCTGTCTCCACTATGTGGTGGTAGGAAATATCAGTACGTGCAGTACTCACAAGAGCACTGCAGAAAGGTTTAGCAGCTTACTATAAAAGCTGGCACACCGTTCTGCTTAAACACTTAAATAAAATCAGGACACCACAAATGTGAGCACTCAGCTACTCCCTGTTTCTATCCCTTGCTCCCCATCTCCTGCACTGTTTTTCTAATATTGAGCCCAAGCACCACTAATCTCTCCCCTACCCTGCCACTTGTCAGGCTACTACAAACTAATCTGAGATGGCAGGGAAAAATCAACCTTCTCCCAGTTCACAGCTAATAAAGATGCATGCCCAACTGTGAATCTGTCATCTCTAGAATGGATTACTGTAATTCAGGCCATCTGAAGCTGATGCCAATAAGCAGGCACCAACTGCTACACGATACAGTCACTCGCTTCCTCCACAGCATAGGTCACAGAGACACCTCACGTTTTATTGCCAATTATTTTTAGACCTCACTTCAAATCCTAGATAGCAATCTCCAAGCTCAAACATCTTGCTCTAAAGACATGAATATTAGAAATGTACACATCTCTCAAACAAGATGGATAAAAAAGCTTCATGTCTAATTTTTGGAAAGAAAACATTTTGAGTTCGGGCAATCAAGCTCAGAATGAACTTTCAGAGCATTTTAAAAAGATTCCAGGCCATAATAATGTCTAAGAAAACCAAACTAAACCAACCAACCAAAAAAAAACTACTCCAAAACCATCCTCTTTGAAGAAGCTCCTCTACATATTAGCAGAGGACTACACAAGTTTTTACTTCCTACCCTATACCCAAGACAACTACAAAACTAAAGTAACAGAAAGAGAAAACGCACATTTCAAGAAAAGTTTTATCCTAAAAAGGCAAGAGTCATAGTTGACTAAGAACTAACTAACTGTTGACTAAGAACTAACTGTTACTAATTTTACTTAGAAATCACTGAGATACTATAGTGATGGGATAGTGATAGAAATGACTGAGATAAATGGAAAGTAATAGATAACAACACTAAGAAGTACAACCATTACTAGGCAGTAAAAACTGCCTTAGAATCTAATTTCCATTCTTCTTCTCTTAAATGATCCCATGCATCTTCACATTAAAGTAGAACATAAGGATGCAATAAGGATGTGACCTCAGTGAACTCCATGCCTTGAAAAATTAGATGTCTAATATCTGTCTTATAAAGCACCAAGACCACCTATCAAGTCACTCAAACGAAGTAAATGGAGTTCTTGTCCACAGGGAGAATGCTAAACTCCCTCATATGTTTTTTTTTTTCCTGATAATTTCGCTATCCTAATTACGATCATCTGCACTGGCTCAGAGACATGGAATTACAGAGACATTGAAAAGAGCAGTGAACTTTTGCTGGTGGTCAGCATATGGTCGGTTTTATATTTAGAATTTAGTAACAGAATTTAATTTCCAGATGCCTCTTTCAGTTCCAACTGCTCCACCTGCCCAAGACTTTTTTTAGCAGGCAAACAACATCACAGCTCTCCTGTTAAATGAAAAAGGCGTTTGATCAAAAGTGTACTTCATTCATCTCCAAACTATTAAACCTTTCTCTGGAAATCACTTTAAGCGTTCAAATCAACAAGCCATCCTTCATATCAATCCAAGTCATGCATCTCACCTTTCAAGGCTGCTTGTTCAGCTTGTGTATACATCCCTAGGAAAAAGTAGGTACAGGCAAGGTTCACCCAAACATCAGGATTGCAAGATGGCTTCTTGGTCAAAGCCTCATATTCCTGTAACAGAAGAGAGTTTTGATTTTTTAACCTATAAGGGCACAGACATATATTAAATACCATTCTTTCTTTCATCACTTTACAGCTTATTATTAAATTATTCAGGTCATCCAACTATCCTCAAGATAATCTTGTAGTTCTTACAACTGAATTGTTATATTTTGGCAAAAAATACACACTAGGGGCTCTTTTCTGATTAAAGCAATAGAACAGACAACACAGACAAACAGCACTATAAATCTCTACCATAGCTGCATGTATACTGCTTGGGAATTGTTATCTGGGTAATGCAACTGAATTGTAACAGTCTTAAAGCTAGCAACCAACCCTCAGTCTTTTTGGATGCTCCAATTCTGCTCCAATCAAAGTCTGGGAGCCCTAAATGCTAGGCAAGTCGCTATGTGGATACTTAGTACAGCAGCTGTTAAACAATCTGTAGGTAGTGGTTTAGTATAGATTAAAATATAGAAATGCTAGAAGTCTGTATTGGTCAGATTAAAGATTTTCTAATCAATAAAAATATAGTTATGGATAAAAATATAATTATAGCAAATAATAAATTGTGCTTAACATCACCACTTCCCATACGACTTCCCATTTTAAGATTTATAGCATGGTTATAGAATGCCCCTGGATGCTTTATTATGATTTTTTTTAAACACATCCACATTCATTATATAACCTTTAACATTGTCCTGTAAACTGTTCCTGTTCACTTCCTGTTATTTGTGAAAAAGTAAAAGCCTGAGCAGGTCAAAATTTCAATTTATTTTGAAATGAAATAAAAACCTTTGCAGATATTGACCAGTGATACTCCTAAAGATAAATATCTTTGTTCTTTATAAAAATAGAGTACTAAAAACAGAGCTAGGGAGATCCCTCAATTCCATTTTTCTCTCTGCCAGGTATCGTTAAAATTGTTATGAAGGACCATGTCTGTGAAAGTGCCTCCTGCTGGTGTCCCTGCTCCCCATCCAGCCATGTCCAACAAGTAACCTAAGGCAAACATGCTGGGTCATGCCACGCTGGCACTTCTCAACCATAATAAACTTCTCACCCCTCAAAACACACACTGCCAACTCCATCTCTTCTTTCAAACATATGAATTGGAATTTCCCTCTCCCCTGTGGGAGTCTGCTAAATTGTGATCTTAAGGTGGAAATCTTCCTCTCTTTGCGAGGAAAGGCACAGATATGTGGTGCTACAGCCATGCCCAAAGAGCAGTGAATGCCCACAACAGACATGCTGGTGACAAAGTTTATGGCTTGCAAGCATATTTTTTTTGTGTTGCCAAGTGAAAGTAAACAGCACTCCCAAACAGAGAAGTTCTTGGTAAAATGTGTCCTTGAAAGCTGATCCAGCCTCACTAACACGTCAGAAGCTAACTGTCCTTTGAGAAGACTTTAAAAAAGAAAAGAAAACAAAAACCTACAACCTTCTAAGAAAATGTGTACATATAGACAACTGTTCCTACTGAGGCCAGTTCAGTCTTGACACAGGCCTGTCACAGAGCTCTGAGAGACAAGCCATTATTGTTTATCAGGACCATCTGGAATATTTCAGAAATCCATTCAGATTAAATGCACCCAGAGGTCTCTTTGGGTCATGGCTTCAGACAGATTAATTAGAAAAGACAAAGTGCATAAACACAAGTCATGTTCTGGCTTGGCCGTTGAAAGCAAGTCAGAGACATTGATGTAGCAGTACCAGTGTGAATCTGTGGAAACACAGTAAACAAAAAACGGCAATCATTAGCATCCCTAGCTCGTAACTCTGGGCAGTTTGCCCAGACTATGCTGTTGCCCACTTACTCACTGAAGGACATTCAACATTACTGTCCCTCAAGTAATACTTCACAGGAGAGCTTTGCTCTCTCGTCTCCAAAAGTCTCCAATGGCCTTCCCAAGAGTGAACTTCTGGCATACGTTTGCCAACCAGATGCACGCCAGTTTCTTCCTATTTCACCCTTCGCTGTCTGTCACCCTAATACAACACAGAGGCACATACACCTTTCCGTAAACCTGTGCCATCAGGTTGACTGCCTAGGAGTACAGATATCTCCCGACAACGTGGAGGGTACTGAACAGAACCCCTCTAGCCTCAGTAATTCTCTAGATTCTCCAAGCACACACATATAGGCCCTGAAAAACTAAGAAGTAGGCCAATTTGTGAGGTTACCCCACAGGTACAGAAATGTTCATTGTACCCTGTCTTTTACGTTCTTCAGCTAGATCCATTATTTACTTGCTACTTCAGCTACCAGGAACTTGAGCAGTCCTGAATGCTCATACTTCTACTAGAAGCACTGGAGCAAGATATTCCTCATGGATGAGCCATTACTTCATACTTCACTATTTGACCAAAGCCATGCAGAGCCAAACTGTGGTAGGCAGGAGGTCTTGTCTGGTAAAGAAGTGGAACTGCTCCCAAATCTTTGCTAATTAGCAGATCACAAAGACTGTCTGAAGCCCTAGCTGTGGTTTACGAAAATTTGGAAGAAACAACACATTAAAGGCTCTGGCCAAGATGTCACGTCACGCTCTGCTCTCCTATGTGCAGTTGATGATTTGTCTATGCAGGAAGACTTTTAAGCATCACCATATGTGGAAGCTGTACCATGCTAGCATCTCATCTGCTGAAGCCAAATCTGTGTGCGCAGAGCATCATTGTGAAATCTGTTCCTAGTAAGGTGCCTCTCCTTGCCACTTAAGCTGCCAGTATCTCAATTATGTCTTATAAACCCCATGTTCTTAGGTCCCGATTGCCTCATCTTACAAGATAAGGCACTCCAGAAGAAACTCCGACAACTTACGAGCTCATGCTGGTCCTTTGATGACTTATTTCCTTGAACTGTTTACGATCAGTGCTATGAACCAGTAGAAATAGCAGCCTTTTTTGG